GATCAAGACCATCCTGGTCAACATGGTGAAACCCCATCTTTACTAAAAATACAAAAATCAGCTGGGCATGATGCTGTGAGCCTGAAGTCCCAGCTACTTGGGAGGCTGAGACAGGACAATTGCTTGAACCCGGGAGGTGGAGAGACAGTGCCACGACACTCCAGCCTGGGTGACATAGTGAGATTCTGTCTCAAAAAAAAAAAAAAAAAAAAAAAGAGTTAAGTAGCAAAAAGAAAACATATATGCAGGACCAGACACAGAAAAGCAGAAGGAAAAAAGGAACTATTCCTGACCATCCCAACTCAAGTCTCAACATGATTTCAAAATAGACAGATGCATTATTGACTCGGCCAAGCAATGAAAGTTTTGTAAAATGATTCTGATCATGATAGTCTTGGTGTTGGAATGTCTAATATGCCAGAAAGAAGATAGTTATAGGGAAATAAGCACTTTTTCAAGTTGTGTATTCCAGTAGTTAATACTAGCTCTCATAATTATGCAGTTTACACACCTGAAGTAAACTACATTTGGTCACACAGGGATAGGTAGTATAAGTCTGTGGTTAAGGCAACGGCTATTACGGCTATGAAATCAGACAAATCTTGGTACCAACGATGGCTCTACCACTTGCTAGTAATATGCCCCTGAAAAAAATTCTTTCTAATCTCAGTTTTTTCATTTGTAAAAAGGTAATACTGTTTCTTAAGAATTAAGTGAGATAATATTTGTAATATTGTAATAGTGTCTGCTATGCAATAAGTTACTCAATAAATTACAGTTACAGGTACTGCAACTTATTCACTATATTTAAGTAGGGCACTTTCCTATGTGTACCATCATTTTTATTATTATTTAATCATGACTTGGGCTGTGATTTAAGTATAGCAACTACATAAATCAATTTCTACAAAAATGTAAAATTAAAAAACAGGTTATCAGTTTGACAGCATCAAATTAATTTACTTTAAAGCATTTTCTTTAATTTATGAAGTTTCAAATCCATCCTTTATTGTGGAATTTTCAAAGGCATCTGAGCTTTGAAATGGGGAGAGAAGAGCTCCACTTTAAAAAAAACAAAACACTGAGCAGAATCCATTCTCCTGAATGATCAACAACAACAACAACAAACAAACAGTTGGTAAACTGAGTAAAGAGACTTTTAACAGTATCTAACATTTTCCCTAACTTAATGAGCCTATAAAACTTTTTCTCATCTACCATCTATTAACAGTCTATACAACAAATGGTTCACAGTAATCTTGAAAAATGTAGTCTCATGTTTCTAAAATGTTAGCAATTTCCTCTTATTTTAAAAAGAAATCACAAGATTTTTATATTCACAAAATCATGAGATTCCTCTGAGGACTAACTGAAAAGCATTACTTGACTATAAAAATACAGCCCAGTGCCGGGTGCATTTCTGGTGACACACATATTCATCTTAGTATTATCACTCAACCATATAAAATGAAAATTGGGGGAGGTATGATAAAATATGTAAAATTTACTAGTTAAAAAGGTTAAATGAGACTTCATTAATCCAAAATTTTAAAGAGAAATTCAACAGTATTTATTGTGCATCTATTATGTGCCAGCAACTGAAGCATGCACTGACGGAGACAGACAACAAATAAAGAATAAAAGCCCATGAGCTCTGAAAGGTTCTAACAAAGCAGAACTGAGCTTACTACTAGTGCCCATCATAGCTCAAAGAAATGTCCCCAGCCCAAATTTAATGGTTTTTGTTTTCTAGTACTGCACTACCTTCTGTAGTCAAACAAGTAAAGCAACTTAAAAGTCCGCAAACTTTTTCAAGAAGCAAAAACAGAAGCATTTGTGAATTTAATAAATTCTATTCATGTGAAACTAGCTCTGACAATATAAAGCCTCATAGGCTGAAAGAGGGGCATTCTCACTCATTTTTGCCCTACGACTATTTATTGAGTCACTTACTGAGCATCTGAGTAATTATTTTCTTACTCAAACTCCTCACACACAATTAAAATTTTTAAAGGTCTGATTATTACACAGCAAACTCAATAAAACCAAAGGACTAGTCAACAATTATACAGCAAGATCTTGGTATCATAAACCGCCAACTCTGCTGCATGTGACATCCTGGGATGGCAAATTCTAGTATTTCAAGTTCTAACAAAAGTACCATGGGCAATACTACTCACAGCTTCTATAAGTTGCTTGATCCAAAGTTATTTTATTGCTAGTGTTACTTTAGTCTAATTTAACTTTAAATTTTAGCAAAATATAAGCAGTTGTCAGGAAACAAACACACAGAATAAGATCAGGGACTCTAGGCACTATTGGGTAATATCTGGTCTCAGATAGGTCTGAGACCTATGAAAAGGTCTCAACTGGCCTTTTCATAAATGTAGTAATGTTTTCCTCCTCCTAGCAGTAAATGGTTTTAACAATTTTCTTTTCTTTTTTAAAATAGAGATGGATTTTAGTGTTACCCATCGTAGTCTCAAACTGCTGGCCTCAAGCAATCCTCCCACCTCTGCCTCTCAACGTACTGGGATTATAGGTGTGAGCCACCACACCCAGCCAACAATTTTCTTTGTTCATTTGAATTTATATTATTATTTATTTAAACACCTCCCCTCCCCCACACACACACACTCTCTCTCTCTCTCTCACTTTAAGAAAAGGTATATGAAAAAGGTCAGTAAAAAGCTGGGGGTTTAACTTTTGTTTCTAAGGTTCCTCAAATATAGCCTAACACTCTTACTTTTTACCTGAAAAATCATGACTACAGAAGAGTTTAATTTCAAAGGCACTGTTAAGAAAATCAAACTACAATGGAGCTTCTCTACAACAACTTTTCCTACTAGTGAAATTAAGTATAGGGTTGGTCTTTTTCTGGATCTGATCCAAAGAGAGTTAATTAGTGAAGTACCAGGAGGACCTCATGGTAAGGGGCTGGCGCTCTCGGCGCAACGTCACAAGGTGCTTCCAGTACAGCCACTGCCCTAAGAACATCGTATGGTTCATTCCTGAGGTGAGACAGTGCGCAAAGAATCACTTCGTCTAAGAACATCTCTTGGATTTAGTTGGTAACTTTGTTCATAACGATGAACAAAACCAAATCATACTCATGAACCTAAGCATCTAAACATTCTAAATTCATGGCCTCGTAACTATAAAAACCTCCAAAGCCTCAGCGACTTCTTTCCACTTTTGAAGTTTACCATCTTATCTTCTTCAGAATACATGAAAGACAATTCCTATACTTTAATGTAATAACCTGCTAGATGCTAGGATGTAGAAGTAGGCATTTCAAAAATACTTAAGACTACTATACAAGCTGCCTAAATGTATGTATTTTCATTTTGAGGATTTAATATATTTATGTATATATCAATCATGTGAATTTGTGTGATGGCAGAAAACTTCCAACATGGTGATATAAAAGTAGCACTGTGAGAACTCACATTCCTTAAACAGGAGGCTCTGACTTGGTGTTAGGCATAGAAAAGTGTTTCTCAGTAGCTGCCCATGGGATTTCTGCATGACAAACACACAGCTGACTCATGGGATCAATTATAAAGAAACAATCATTTTTTGTGGCATTAAAAAAAATCTGTGTTTTCATAAGTTATGAATACATGTTAAGAAGTCAGATGAGTTCCACTGATCGCTTTATTACCAAACCAATAACCAAAGCTCTCCCTCCTACATTCAAACCTACATGTGAATTCCTCACTACAGATTCCCATTCTCAATAACCTTTCTGATGATTTCTCATTAAATTCAACTACAAAAACATTTTTTTGACAACTATTCAAGTATTAAGTCAAAGCTGAATTGTCAAGCTTTAGTTTCTGCATAAAAAAACCAGCTGCCCAATATTTCTCAGTATTAGTGATTTTGCTTTAAATAAATTGCTGGTCTTGCTTCAAATTTTTAAAAATTACAACATTGGAAGAACAAGCCAGTTTTAATGTACCCTCCCCTCATCCAAGCAGACTATTATACCCTCTACAAAAACTGTTTTCCCTGAAGAGAAAGAGCAACAATTCCCATTTTAAAGCAGTTCTCTATGACGTGCTATCAAAGCACAAGCAGCATTTGCGATACTTACTGAGTGTTTCTCCTGCTGGCCCATAACTCCATGGTTAGCTGGGATTGCTAGTGGTTTCATAATGAAGAAACATATGCTGAACTGAATTTACACATCATGTACCAATCTCTCACGATGGCAAGTCACTCTCTACAGCATTAAATTAAAAGAAAAAGGAAAAAAAAAAGAGGGAGGAGGGAAAACCAAGCTGCAGCTTCAAGTGTCACTACTGGTAAGCTTAAAAACCCTTCACACTTGTAGACCAGAAAAGGAATCCGAACAACGGTGTTCGTCTCCATTTTTATAACATTGAAACTCTAACCATCCTAGGCTATGACAAGACCGAGAAAATCTCATACAACTCTCAGTCTTCCAAGAGAACAAGATCATTTCTGAGGCTGAAGAACAAGAGGCAAAAGAAAAGGAGAGGAAAAAAAAAAGAAAAAAGCTAAAATGGCTGACTGCACACAGACTCCTCTCAAAAAGGCTTAACACAGAATTATATTAGTCAGGGTGGTATAAGAACCAGGCTCTAGCATTCAGCCAAGCATTGTTAATACCCTTGTTTCATCTGCAATCACACATACAGACCCCTCCAACCAAGAGAAAAAAAGAAAAGGAAAGAAAGAAGAAACCAGGGCAGAGCGTGTGAATCGGGAACTCCTCCCTAGTTGCTAATGATGCTGACAGAGTGGTGACCAGTGATCTCTGTCCCACTCCACTAACCAAGTTTGCACAATTAATCTTAGCAGCATGACACTGATGGACATTTAATTTAATGATGTCTGCCCCTCACACTCAACACAAGCAATCCTGCTAGCAAGAAGAGTCACTAACAGAAGCACAGCACATGCACACACACAATCTCAAAAATCATGAGTCTGAATGCAATACACCAATATAATTACATTATTGTGCTTACTTTGGAGGACCATGGCTGCAGGCAGTTGGCATAGCAACGCACAAGGAAAGCCATTTCCTGGATAGAAAGCTTCCTTTTCTAAATAAAAAATTCCTCTTAGGAAACAAACGGCATTGCTGCTTCCTGCAGAAAGCAAGACACTGTAGTCTGTCTCTTAACCTGCAAGGCTCACACTCAATGCAGTTCTAGTGATGTAAGTGGATTTCTCTCTCACCCTCCCTCTCCCTATATACACTGAAATATTCAGCTCAAACGGTACACACATTCCTTAAGACTCGCCCCCTCCTCTACTTAACCATTTCACTCATTAAGGTAGCAATGGACAATTCAGATAAAGTAACAAGCTCTTGCCTGTATTCTATCAGCAGCTGTAGGTTAAGCAAGTCTCAGAGGGATGGAATCCATTGATTGCTGACTCCAAATAATATCACTGAAGACAGGGTGGGAAAACGGAGCAAGGACTTACTTGAACAGCTTTGAACTAAAATATGCTTTTTTCACCAAGGTTAAAATAAAGGAATCAATGTGACCTCTATCCCACCCTCAAATATCGCTGTGCTACAGTAAACAAATACCTATCAAAAATTTATAAAACGCACACTTGACAAGCTTTGTATAAATTTAGATATGATTTTCACAAACACTCATACACACACATACACAGATGCACATATTGCCTTGCAAATAATATAAAAAATTAACCTACCTAGGCTTTTCTTTAAATCAAACCAAACTTCAGAGGTAAAGAGTAGAAATAAAAAGCAGATACATTATTCTATTATAAACTCTGGATTTCACGTAGGTATGTAGGTATTTGAAAGACTGCATTATACTTGACAAAGAATAAGGACATTTTAACTCTGAAACACTGGTCAGCTTTTCACAATCAGGTTTACTATCAATGGCACACATAACTGGAAATAGATACAGAAAATGTAGCATTTTTAATAATTGACTTTGGAATTGTCAGTGCTTGCTAACTTGTGTTCCTTGACTACTACCTAAGGCTGTGCCCACTCTATTCTCTTTCCTTCTTTCTCCTCATATCTAAAGGCAACCATTCCCACCACATCACTATTTTGGATCCTTCTCCCCATTCTCCCATCCCTTTTCTTAGATTTCTTACATTACTCATTATCCTTCTTTTGCCATGTACGCTTCACCTCTGTCACACAACCACAGTCCTGCCCGCTAGCTTTTAAATGTGCAGGTCTCTCCCATCTCAAAACAAAAACAAAAACAGAAACATTCCCTAGACCCAGTATTTTCCTCTTCCTCCACTTCCCAACCAAATCTCTCAAAAATCTGCTTGGTTTTAACCATTCATCATCTCACGCAATACTCAAATGATGAACGATAGTGATCCTGTTACGCCATTTCTACATTTAAGAGTTTCCTTAACATCTCTGTCCATGATCAATCCATCACAACATCTGTTTATTAAATTCTCTAATTTTTCTCAAATTTAGATTTCTCTTTGTCTTTGCAGTTATCATTGCACTCCAATCGTTATTTTCTGCCTCAAGAACTGCAGAAGTCTCCTTAATGAACTGTTTGGATTCTAACTTCATCTACGCAACTTATTTATCATACTACCTCCTGAAATCTTATAAAAACTAAAGCTTGATCATTTTGCCCTCATCCACTAAGCCCCTTTTACAAATGAAAACAAAACACCTCTATGGCTTCCCACTGCTCCTGGCATAAAGACCAAAACTCTTGTCATGCTCTCTAAGATGTATACATTTTCCAGACTTATACCATGCTCACGGTCACTCTCTGCACTCCACATTGCATGGGCTGTTCTTGCCTTCTTGATAGACAAGAGGGCCTTTGCATGTTATTTCCTCTGCCTGGAATTTTCCTTCTTCCTTCCTTTCCTCACTGATGCCACCTCCATCCCCCAAAACATACTGGTGAAATACCCTCAGAAGTCTCATGATAGTGTTTATCCCTTCATTGAAGCATATATTTGCTACAGTTGTAATTTTGCATGGAGTCCAAAGAGTATTTAAGCAGTCAGTGTTTGCTTCCTCCACTACACTCTCATCTCCACGATGGCTGGTGCCATGTCTGTCTGTGTGTACTCCTCTGTTCACTGCACCTAGCAGGGTGCACACTGTAGGCATTCACATTTTTGTTGAGTGAATCAACCTTCCACTGACTGGGAAAGGGCATTGGAAAGACCCTATTTAATCCGCTAGACTTATTCCTGTCAAAATCCCAAATATTTTTCTATAATAGTCATAACTAATAACTTAAAAGTAAACTGTTGCTAAAAGGTAGAAGCAACTCAAGTGTTTATTGACAAATGAATGTATGAATAAAATGTGGTACATGCATACAGTTGGACTTTATTCAGCCTTAAAAAAGGAATGAATTTCTATTACATGCTACACCATGGATAAAACTTGAAGACATCAAACTAGAAGTAAGCCAGTCACAAAAGGACAAATACTATATAATGCTCTACTCTAGGTACCAAAATAGTCAAATTTACGCAGGCACAAAGTAGAATGGAGGCTGCCAGGTGCTGGGGGAAGGACGAATTGGGGAGTTACTGTTCAGTGGTGTAAACTTTTAGTTTGGGAGGATCAAAAAGTTCTGCAGATAGATGGTGGTAATGGCTGCAAAAACAATGGCAATGTATTTAATGCCATTGGCCTTTTACACTTAATAATGTATAAAATTGTAAATTTTAAAGTTACTTATATTCTATCACAATAAAAAATGAGGACATGCCAACTCAGGGATTAAATAATCAAGTTCTACACCTTCCATCTAGCCTGTGTCCCACAAAACACATATCCACATGCCAAAAAATTCTTTTCACAGTTAAGTCAAATTACCCTCATGCTGATGGTGTCTGACTTTATATGTGAAGGTTTCTAATTGCTTGCCTCTCTCTGGAAAAATGTGTGACTTCTCTCAAGAAGGAAACTAACCTAATGGGGGAACCTGATAGATGAAGTAAAATCACACATCCTCAGGCACTGACGTTTTTCTGTACTGAGACTTGGCATAATCTCTCTCTCAGCCTGGCTCCATGCCTACAACCTACACATCTTAAAACTCGTAATTGTAATACGGAAATTTCACTATCCACAATATCTTGTATGTTGAAACACAATTATGGGAGGTTATAATATGTCAAACATTGCTTAAGAAATAAAATATAAATAAAAGATTTAGGAGAAATCCATATTATAGATTTTATACAAGTAAGAATAAATCACACATCTTGAAGTTCGCTAAAATTTGGGTTATATTTACCCATTTCTTGACAATTAGTAAGTAGCATTAAACAGATCCAGTTAAAAAAAAGAACCATGTAACAACTTTCCACCCTGTCAATAACATCCAATGACTTCTAAATTATAAGTAACAACACTCCAAGAGACGGAGATTATATAGTTCAGGAAACTACTTAATGCAAAGGCCTTCCATGCTATATTCATACCATTACATTCTTTTTCTTCCCACCTAAAGTATTCACTTTCTAATTACTACGAAATTGAGAAAAATGGTCTGTTCTTAGTAATGATTAATCATATTTACAACATATACAGTGTTTAACCATACATCTCAGTGTGCTTTACAAACATTTAATTAAGCTTCATCAAAACCCAAGGGAAGCAAGAGAATAATGTACTTATCTTTCATAGAAAAATAAAGTGCTTAAGGTTATAGAGTTAGTAGTATAGAAGAATGAGAAATAGAATTCTAGGTTTCTAATACCACTTACTTCACTTAATAGTTAAATATGCCCTTTCTCTGCTACCACAGAGGAAAAACTATAGAGGATGCGGAAAACTTGTAGATATGGCAGAAAGAAGTCATTCTTTGATATTAGAAAACAAGAAATTTTACAAATTTGATTTTTAGTGTTTTATTGTTCCCCAAAGAAGGACATTTTAAAATGCTATTTTCTCTATGAGTACACCAAACTAAGTAACCACTAAGCCAATGAAAAATAAAAGACAGCAAATAAAGTCACAAGTTCTACTTCTCTTTTCCTAAAGCCAATAACACCCCCCCATTAATAGGGCAATTTCTTAAAAAAAAAAAAAAAAAAAAAAGTTGATTATCTGATAAACTTTATACTTTAACTCAATCTTACATTTTCACATCGTCTATTTCATCCTTGGGTATACCATACACAAGTCCTTGACACACCCCACCCAAATCATTTACAGAGGAAATCTGGGCTAAAACTTCATTTTTCCACTTTCATAAAGTGAAATGGTACTTCTGGTTCATCGTTAAAAATAATTTAATTATGAAATAAAACAGGAGAGAAATCAATGCAATGGCTGACACAGGAAATGCTAACTAACCATGTAAGTGATTCTAAATACAGTCTTTAGAAACACAAGGAATCTGTTGAGTTAATGTTCAGTATCAGAAAAACCTAACTGAGTGTTCAAAAAAGATCACTAAGATTTAATCCACAGATATGTTCCAAGGAAATGATTTAAAAAAAAAAAATTCTGACAGCAAACTGTTTATGTTGCATCTGATTTGTAACTGAAAAATTAATGTGGCAACTATTTATAAGAAATATGCTCCACATTCACATGGAGCACGTTAGAAGGGAAAGTTTAAAAGATGACATGAGATGGAGACATGCAGAAAAACAAAGAAGACTTAAGTCCATGAGAAATTCCCACATGGGGCTTTTAAAAATGCACTTACTTGAAAAACAGGCAGACCTTAACAGCAGATTTAACAAAGCTTACTTCATTTCCCACAACCTATTTTTTAAAAAGGCCAGACTTCGCTTACAAACCTCTACTCAAGGTTTCAAAGGTGGAGTCCTTGAACAGTGGTTGCAAATCATTTCCATTCTTTGCCTAGGGGCGAGGTCTTAGATCAAGGCTCCCCACTATAATATTTCACAGAGCAACATGGCGAATGTAAAAAATTACTATCTTTATTTATTATCTTTATTACTAATTTGGCTGTAATATATTCCCTTGGGATTAATATGTTGCATGAGCACAATGACCTGTTAATTATCCCTCTGCTTCTATTTAAGAAAAACAGAAAATACTGCATCACAAACTGGAATTGTAAGTTAGATGAGGGGAACTGCACTACATTTATCTGATATTGTTAAGGACTGATTGTACTTTATCCCTAGTACTTGACACACCATTGTTCAAAGAAGGAATGTATAAGTGATTCCACTTAAACTTCGAAACTAACCTGTTAAATATTATTCCTGTTTTTAAGATGGTGAACCAGACACAGGATGGGTGAAAAATTGTAAAAGATGTCTAATTTCTTTACTGACAAAATCCAGAGTTTTAAATAATTTGATAGGTGAAAAGTAGGCTAAAACCAGTAAATTTAAATTTAACAAGAATAAATATAAAGACCTACACGAATATTATCAAAATGCCACCTGTACAAGTACAGATAGGAAATCAGGCTTAAGGAACAATTCATAGGTGAGTGGGAGGTAGAAGTCCTTATCTATAAAACAGAGCAGTCAAAAGCTCTCTCTGAGCCAATGTGCAATCCTCAAAACCTTAATATAATCTCATGTTACATGATTAGACCCATGATGTCTGGAGCAAGGAAGGCAGAAAATTCGACAGTAATCTGCACTGTTGGGTCTTGCAGGATCTATGCAAACAATGGCAAGCAGTAACTGGTTTAGGAAAGCTACAAAAAGCTGGTAATATTTAACACAGTAGAAGAGGTTTAAAGGGTGGGATCTCTGTCAACATCTGAAACACAGTTATATAAAAATGAAATATTAATATTCATTTGCACTGCTTTAAAAGAGACCTAGAACCATGAACTACAATTATGGAGAGAGAGATTACAGCTAAACATAATAGTTTCTTAATAATTAGCCCTTTCCCATAATAAATAACAGCTATTAGGATTTACTAAGTTCAAGAGTTTCTTAATAACTAACCCTTTCCTGGCTCTGCGCGTTGGCTCACACTTATAATCCCCGCACTTTGGGAGGCCAATGTGGCAAATCACCTGAGGGTGGGAGTTCGAGACCTGCCTGGTCTGACCAATATGGAGAAATCCCGTTTCTAAACATACAAAAAAATTAGCTGGCACCTATAACCCCACCTACTCGGGAGGCAGGAGAATCACTTGAACCCGGGAGGTAGAGACTGCGGTGAGCTGAGATCACACCATTGTACTCCCACCTGGGCAACAAGAGAGAAACTGTTTCAAAAAAAAAAAAATTATACACAACTTTTCTCTATAATAAATAATAAATGTTAGGATTTACTAAGTTTTTACTTTGTACCAGGCACTGGGATACAAGTTTCACACTCATTCTGTAAAAGACTACCTCTCAAATACCTATGCTAATTGTAATTTTAAAACCTTAAAAGTAGAGGCTGAATGTTAGTGATTATAGAAAAGAACTAAACTACATTAAGTAGTTCAGCTGTAAGATTCTTAAAATCCTTTCACACTCTTAAGGTGGCCTTTATCTAACAGGGCTGTTACTAAACATCAGCTGGTGGGAAAACAGGGGTAGAAAAAGGGTGATATAATGTAGAATCACAGAAAAAGAAACACCACATGAATGGAAACAAAGCTTTTTTGAGATAAGATTTCCTGGTAATAACTGCTTAATTCCAAGATTTTTGTCTTTCTGTTTTGGCAGTGGGAGGGAGGATATTAAAATGCCCCTTACTTAAAAAGAAACAAATTAGGCTATGCAGTGGCTTACACCTGTAATCTCAACACTCTGGGAGGCTAAAGCAGGTGAATTGCTTGAGCTTAGGAGTTCGAGACGCATGGGCAAAATGACAAAACTCCATCTCTACAAAAAATTAGCCAGTCGTCGTGGTACACGCCCTGTAGTCCCAGCTACTCAGGAGGCTGAGGCAGGAGAATCACTTGAGCCTGGGAGGTCAAGGCTGCAGTGACCCGTGACTGTGCCACTGCACTCTAGCCTAGGCGACTGAGACCCTGTCTCAAAAAATTAAACAATAAATAAATAATAACAAAACAAAGCATAGTGATAACTGGACAATAATTTAGAATTTTTCTTCTTAACATCCTTACTTAAAAATTAAAAGCTGCCTATACTTAGATCTCGCCGCAAAACTTAAAAAAAAAAAATTAAAAGTTGCCAAACTTAGAAATGGGTTAGAGATAGGTGATTTTAAATAATAATTTGAATTATTCAAATTATATATAACGATTATATAAAACTAGTAAGTTTTAGAGAAGTTTTTAAAAACTCTTTTACTTATATTTTTTCAATATTCTTAAATATTACCAAAACACTTCCAAATTCTGGTAGAGAAGCAAACAATTTTATGATTTTTTTTTCACCTCTAAAACTATGAATAATTTTAGACAACTGTAAGCAAGTTGTTTCATTTTTTAGTGAAATAAAATGGGTTTTGCTGTTTTGCCTAGGCTAGTCTCAAACTCCTAAGCTCAAGCAAGTAGTCTGCTTCTGCCTCCCAAAGTGCTGGGATTACAGGTGAGAGCCACTGCACCCAGCCTAATATTTTTGTTTTTTTAAGTAGGGGGCATTTTAATATTCTCCTTTCTACTGTCATTAAAGAATCATACCTACAAAAGATCTTTCAGCAAGATTTTGGCTTTCCTTATTATAATATTAGTGGACCTATCTTGTAAAATACATTAGTTACATGGTCATCCCTTTGTTATGAAATGGTACTACATGCTAGTAATAGCTTATTCCTGGTATTGGAATGAAGCTAGAAAGGCTAAAAAGAAAAAAATACAGCTGTGCTCTATTAATGAGAGCTACATGGTCAGAAAAGGAAAAACACTTAAATTGTAACAATAAAAACTGCTTAATCAACCAAAGTCCACAACTGCTGCAAATGTAACTCAGTCATCATTTCTGGTTATTGAACATTGAACATTCTGTGCCCCAGATGCTTTCTTCAAAAGGCACTTAAAATTTATACTTCTAAAGGGGTTGAATTATTTGATATGTATCTCCTTTGGGCACTAGTTTAAGTTTAAAAAACATAAAAAGCAATATATGTTAAATTCACTTCTAAAAATTAGTAATTTCATAGATTGGGAATGGCAAAGATCTATGTTTGGCTCATCTACTGAGTGACCATGAACACTGAACATGTTCCTTAACCTCTTTGCCCGTGTATGCTTATCTACTGATAGGAAAATACAGAACTGTGGGTTAGTTTCACTGACAAAACACATGAGGAAACATCTAGCAGACTGGTATATCACAAACCCTCAATAAAGGTCAATTTTATTCTCTCTAAAATATTCTAAAAAGTCAGCCTCATTCAAGCCTCGGCCAACCCATTAATTAATGTTGTACAGCTGTATGGGACTAAGATCCTGTGCTAATATCCTTGCATAGGCCTGTTAAAGCAGGAAGACCTATAATGCCACTCCTAGAAATACTAAATAATTCTAATTTTGCAAGTTTGATCCAAAGATATCAACATGATATAACCACCGTATTGCTGAGATCTATATTATCTGTCGTACAAAGGATATACAAAATGGCATAAAGATACTATATGCTTTCAAAGACCCTACTGAGTCTTCAAAAATTTAATATTTAACAAACATTTTCATTAAAAAAAATCTAGTGTCTGGAAATAATATCAAAATGCATAAGTTTTCAAAATGGTTCAATAGTCTTTGTAAAAGAAAGTGATAGTAATTATAAATGGATGCATTAACCAATGGACTTTACTACCAGAAATAGAATTGTGCCTGCCCTTTTGTTGTAATCAAATACATTCCAGACAGGAAATGCTTCCAAATAAACTTGCCTGGAAAATAAATAAAAATAGAAGTAAAACTCAATATAAAAAAATTTTTAAATGAAAAAAAAATTTCAAAAATTTTTTTTTAAAAAAAAAAAAAAAAGAACCTACTGAACAGCCACATGAGTTTAAGATAATATTCAGTATTCCTTTTTATAAATAAATGAATAAACAAAGTCCAATATATGCCTAATTTCTCCCTCTCCTTAGCAGGTCTAAAAGACACGGAGAGCATTTTACTATTCATATTTTAGTTACACTTTGAAATTATCAGTTACTATTATGTGGATATTTAAAAACCAAAGATAATACTAGAATATTTAATTGTAAGTATTAGATTATCATTGTTAGAATTGCTAGCAACTCGCCAGATAGTTCATATTCATGGAAGATTACATTACCTAGGTGTGTCATAAAGTAGCATTTCACTTTATTAATAAAGAAAGGCATTCACTCATTAATTCTACCATGACCCCCAAGACTTTAAATGGGCTAGGACAAGAAACAGGAAAACGGTGATAAAAGAGCCCATATAGTCAAGACAATACTGAGTAAAAGGAACAAAGCTGGAGGCATCATGCTACCTGACTTCAAACTATACTACAAGTCTACAGTAACCAAAATAGCATGGTACTGTTACAAAAATAGATACATAGACCAATGGAACAGAATAGAGAACTCAGAAATGAGACTGCACATCTACAACCATCTGATCTTCAAAAAATCTGACATAAACAAGCAATGGGGAAAACATTCCCTATTTAATAAATGGCACTGGAAGAACTGTGTAGCCACATGCAGAAAACTAAAACTGTCCCTTCTTACACCTTATACAAAAATTAACTCAAGATGATTAAAGACTTAAATGTTGATATGGTTTGGCTCTGCATCCCCAACCAAATCTCACTTTGTAGCTCCCATAATTCCCATGTGTTGTGAGAGGCACAAGGTGGGAGATGATCGAATCATGGGGGTGGTCTTTCCTGTGCTGCTCTCATGATAGTGAATGGGTCTCATGAGATCTGATGGTTTTAAAAACGGGAGTTTCTCTGCATAAGCTCTCTCTGCCGCCATGCAAGTAAGATGTGACTTACTCTTTCCTGCCTTCTGCCATGATTGTGAGGCCTCCTCAGCCACATAGAACTTTGAGTCCAATTAAATTAAACCTCTTTCTTTCAGAAAATTGCCCAGTCTCAGAAATGCCTTTATCAGCAGTGTGAAAATGAACTAATACAAATGTAAAACCAAAAACCGTAACAATCCTAGAAGAAAAACTAGGGAATACCATTCAGGACATAGGCATGGGCAAAAATTTCATGAGAAAACACCAAAAGCAATTGGAACAAACACAAAAATTGACAAATGGAATCTAATTAAACTAAAGAGCCTCTGCAAAGAAAAAGAACCTATCATCAAAGTGAACAGACAAGCTACAGAATGGGAGAAAATTTTTACAATCTATTCACCTGACAAAGGTCTAATACCCAGAGTCTGCAAGAAACGTAAAAAAAAGAACTCACAAGAAAAAAACCTACAACTTCATTAAAAAGTGGGCAAAGGACATGAACATTTTTCAAAAAAGACACTCATGCAGCCAACAAACATATGAAAAAAACTCAACATTACTGATCATTAGAGAAATTCAAATCAAAACCACAATGAGATACCATCTCATGCTAGTCAGAATGGCTATTATTAAAAAGTCAAGAAACAACAGATGCTGGCAAAGTTGCAGAGAAAAAGGAACACTTTTGCACTGTTGGTAGGGGTATAAATTAGTTCAATCATTGTGGAAGACAGTGTGGCAATTCCTCAAAGACCTGAAGGCAGAAATACCACTTGACCCAGCAATCCCATTACTGGGTATATACCCAATGGAATATAAATCATCCTATTATAAAGAAACACACATGCCCATGTTCACTGCAGCACTATTCACAACAGCAAAGACATGGAATCAACCCAAACGCCCATCAATGACAGATCGCATAATGTGTTATATATACACCATGGAATACTCTGCAGCCATAAAAAGGAACACAGACAGAGCTGGAAGCCATTATCATCCTTAGCAAATTAATACAGGAACAGAAAACCAAATACTGCAAGTTCTCACCTGTAAGTGGGAACTGAACAATGAGAACACATGGACACAGGGAGGGGAACAACATACACTGTGGCCTGCGAAGGTTTGTGGGGAGAACATCAGGATAAATAA